TCGATCATAAATATACATATACGTAGACAATTGGATGCTTCTAACGTTGATAATTAAATAGAATTTTTTAGATGATAAAAAAAAATATATTAATGTGTTTGAGATGAAAATATGAAGAGAATAATACACTAAATAGTAAAATTATATATTTTAATATTAAAATGAGGATTATCAATAGTAAACTTCTTTAAGAATCTCATGATCCAAATGCAACATATAAAAGATATGATTGTTTCTCTTAACAGGAACTTGTTATCTTGAATCAAAGTAAAGAGATAAGGGATTGGATTTTTGTAGGACTGTTCATAACTCCTGCAGAATCGACAAAGATAGATGAGTTGGTAGTGGTATTTCTTTTCATTGTATCCTCACTATAACTAAAAACAGATAAAATCAATCATAAATAGTTGTCATATAAATTTCAAGGTAGTAAAGATTTGCAAGGTGACAACAGATACTGTTCATCCCAAGATGTATTATTTGCTCAAAATACTACACTGTATATGAGACAAAATACCTGATCTACACTAGTTGATGCTGATTGACACACTGTAAAAATATGAATTTTGTTTAATATACTATGCAGATATATGATGATACTACATTGTATATGACCATACATGCTGATGCTACACCGTATATGTTGTATCTACACTAGTCGAACTCATGCTAAAGACTAACTAAATCAACTTTACCAGTGTTCTTATTTGTGGATTATACTGTGCATGATGTTGACGAGCTGATTGAAGCTTACTATCATAATATGGAGGCATGTCTGAGGTAGGAGGAAGACCAGTGCCGACATGACCGGGAAGAGCTTGTTGCGAGACTCCGTCTTGTTTAGAGAGATGACGATGACCTGTTTGAAACTTACTATCATTATTTGGAGGCATGTCTGAGGTAGGAGGAGGAAGACCAGAGCCGCCATGACCAGGAAGTGCTTGTAGCGAGCCTCCGTCTTGTTCAGAGAGATTAGGGAACTGTGGTTGATCATCACATAATTCCAAGTGTAGACGGCCAAATAAGTTTTCGTCTTGGATAAGCAAATCTGAAAAGTCAAGTAGTTCTAACGGCGAGTCTGTATTTGTGAGTTCTGATGAGTTGCCTTGCAACGCCGAGTTCGGCGGGTTCTGCTCTACCTGCGAGTACGCTGATTCTGATGGATTGTTTTGCACCGACGAGTGGACCGATTGTTGGTTGTCGTTCACTGACGTGTGGACCAATGGTAGGACCTGCTGTGCCGAGTTCGTCAGCGTTGCTGATTGGTACACATGCTCTGCGGAGTTCATCGGCGTTCCCGAAGGGTACACTTGCTCTGCGGAGGTCATCGCCGGTAATGACGAGTAGACTTGCTCTCCGGAGGTCATCGCCGGTAATGACGGATAGACCTGCTCTGCCGAGTTCATCGACGTTCCCGAAGGGTACACTTGCTCTGCGGAGGTCATCGCCGGTAATGACGAGTAGACTTGCTCTCCGGAGGTCATCGCCGGTAATGACGGATAGACCTGCTCTGCCGAGTTCATCGACGTTCCTGAATAGTAGACTTGCTCTGCTGAGTTCACCGGCATTAATGACGGATAGACCTGCTCTGCCGAGTTCATCGACGTTCCTGAATAGTAGACTTGCTCTGCTGAGTTCACCGGCATTAATGACGGATAGACTTGCTCCGCCGAGTTCATCGACGTTCCCGAATAGTAGACTTGCTCTGCTGAGTTCACCGGCATTAATGACGGATAGACTTGCTCCGCCGAGTTCATCGACGTTCCTGAATAGTAGACTTGCTCTGCTGAGTTCACCGGCATTAATGACGGATAGAGTTGCTCCGCCGAGTTCATCGGCGGGAATGACGGATAGACTTGCTGCGCTGAGTTCATCGGCGGTGGTGGTAGGAAGAACTGTTGGGCCGAGATCGCCGCTGCGTAGAATTTCTGTTCTGATCTCATCGTCGGGTGGACTTGCTGTGCAGAATTCATTGCTTCTGCTGAATAGAATTGCATCGATGAGTTCGTCGCTTCTGATGGATAGACTTGCTGTGCGGAGTTGATGGCTTCTGCTGAATAGAATCGCAGCGATGAGTTGGTCGCTTCTGATGGATAGAGTTGCTCTCGTGAGTTCATGGCTTTTGCTGAATAGGATCGCAGCGATGAGTTGGTCTCTTCTGATGCACAGACTTGCAGTCCTGAGTTCATGCCTTCGGCTGAAAAGAATCGCAGTGATGAGTTCGCCGCTTCCATTGGGTACACTTGCTTACCTGAGTTCATGGCCTCGGCTGAATAGAATTGCAATGATGAGCTCGCCGCTTCTGATGAGAAGTCCGCCGAAAGCATTTGACGAGCCGTTGCAGACCGACGATAGTCTTGCATCCCCAAGGGCAAAGCATACAGCGGTGCGTTGTTTTCATGGTCGAATTGATTGTTGCAGATGCTCGGGGGATCATCCCACCCACCCTGATGAACTCCAACTTGACAACCGGTCGAAGCCAACATATAACTCAGCCCTTCTTCGTTGGGAACGCTGCCGCCGCCGCCGCCTCCGCCTCCGCCTGTTCTAGAAATCTTCGAAGGCGGAGGGCTGCTGCTTCTGCTGCGTCCACCACTATCCAAATCACTTCTCTTCCTCTTATCCGCTCCTCGCTTCTTTTGAATGGAGCATAAAACCCACGGATCCAACTACAAAATCACCAAATATCATTGCACCCATTTATCATGGATGAATCAAGTCGAAAGCAAATCTTAAAAATTATCGATACCTGCATAGAGCCGTCGGAATTACGATGCGGCTGGTGAGAGCCGTCGGAATTACGATGCGGCTTGTTAGAGGTGGACTTGGTGGTGTACTCCTGCATGATCCAATCAGTCTTTTGGCCATTGCCAGCCTTCCCAGTGTAGAAGACGAGGGACCTTCGGATTCCAACAGGCTTTCGATTATAGTAGATGATTTTCTCGGTGCCTGTGGCTTTCCAGTATCCATCGCCGTCGCAGGTGGTACGGTTCGGACGAATTCCATTGGGGTACTTGCGCTCTCTGGACGTGAAGAAGAACCACCTCCCTTCTCCATAATCTTCGTATTTTTCTGGCAATAGAACAATACTCGCTACAGATACGAATACAACTCCAGAAATACATGGGTGTATACGACGCACGTACCCACGAGGTCTGCAGGATGGTAGTCGTAGAGTTTTACGTCATTGAATGCTTTGTACTGCAAGTCCTCGCCGTCGAGTTTGGCCCGGAGATAGTGGCCGATGAGTTCACCGTCGGTGGGCACGAAGTGGAAGCCGGCCGGAAACTGACTGATGGGGCCTCGTCTCTCCATGATTTTTCGCGCGTTCGCCCCCCTCCGCGGCGTCTGCCGGAGTCACGGCGGAGGAGAGTCGGTTCTGATGTGCGTAGATAGTACGTATATATGGGGAGACGTATGCCCGAGGGGATCGGATATCGGATTAGATTTCGGATATGGGCGTAGTTCGTATATAGAATCCGATTAGATCTCGGAAACCAACGGCCGCGAGTGCGCCACCGCCTTGCAGCTGCAGGACACCCCCACGACGCGCTGACCTCCGTGATTAATCTTGGGATTATCAAATAATTAACCTCTTAAACCTTAATTAATGTCATTTCATCTAAAAGTTTAAACTCGTAGATAAGATACGACCTTTATGATGTGATAAAACGTAATCTTTTGAACAAACAGAAAACATATCCATAGGTTTCATCTCATCTCTGTCTGTTTCCGTGCATTCATTATCGTGATTGATCCGACCCGATCCGACGGTGCCGGTTCGTCGAGCAACTGAGTGTCTCGATCACCGATTAAAGGTGTGGGTCCGGTCCCACACGAGCCCTTTAGCCGATCATTTAACCCGCGTGGGGTTACGAGTGGACCGGACAAAGTGGAATCGTTCCGCCCCCGATTCGCAGTTCTTAGGCAAGCCGAGAACCGATGGACTCGAGTGGCTGAAGAGGGAGAAGAGAGTGCGTGATTCTCGACTGTGGAGATGGGATCGGAGCGGTAGGGAGGGACTACGACGAGATCGGAAGTGGGCGGCGGTGCTCGTCGAGGGATTGAATCTTGATTCAGCCGCTCAAATGGCGGATGCTGTAGCAAGATACGGTGAAATGACTTTGCCCATGCATGCAATCTGGGCAGTGGAAGAAGATGCATCTGCCCTTGTTCCCATGGTTCATAATTCTAACTGCCCCCTTGGTTAGCTTTCAACTCTTACACGAGTTCGATTCGAATTGGAGGTTTAATTCTAGCATTGACATCTTACATAGAATCTCCAAGGTATCAAAGAGACATGCTATCGATCGTCTAGAGAGTCAAAGCAGAGAATTTTCGCTCGGTCTTTGATGTCGACCTATAAAAAAATAAAAACAAAGAACACAGAGGAATAAAAAAAAAAGACAGAAAAGTAAAGGACACGTTTTAAACTGGTCCAACTTCCTCGCGGATTCTCCGAGCGCGCCGTCCTATTCCTCCAACCACGTGGGGCCACGTGCTCCCTCGCCGTCAAATTTACAACGGCTTATCACAGCCGCGACCACGATAACTTATTGGAACCCGCAACTCATTTCACGTTATTTCCGCTAATTGTTGGTGAATTACCGATCGGACGGTGCAAGTTCACTCAAAATCGAATCGGACGGTCCTGATTCACGAACTGATGGTTCAAAAGTATACGCAAAACGACATGACACGTCGGAGGATTTTCCTAACAGACCAAACTAATCACGCTACATTATGTATGTCCATTAGTTAAGCCGTTGCTTTGTCTCCTGGGATAGTTTGGTAATTGTGGGTGAGAGTGACATCGGCTCGAAGTTAATATAAGTGGAGGGTTCTTTGGCCGTCCGTCGTCCGTCCGATTATTGGAATCCGATGGAATCGACCGTCCACGTGGTCAAATGCCAGGGCATATTCGGTCTCCGATTCGGATTCGTCTTAAGACTATAAGTATACCGAGCAACGGTGGACTGAAGAGTGGCAGGAGACGGACGGGAGGTAGAAGAGAAGGCGTGATTCTATAGTGTGGAGATCGGATTGGAGAGGCATGAGCGAGGCATTGGTGAGGAGGGGCTACCAGATCGGCGTGGAGATCGGGCGGGGGCGGTTCGGGGTGGTGAGGCGGTGCCGATCGGAGGCGACCGGGGAGGAGTTCGCCGTAAAGTCGGTCGAGAAGCGGGTCCTGGCGGACGCCGTCGATCGCGAGTGCGCGGCGCGGGAGGCGAAGGTCCATCGCCTGGCCGCTTCAGGGAACCCCCACGCAGCGCAGATTCACGACGCGTACGAGGACGACGACTGGGTTCACCTGGTGGTGGAGCTTCTCGAGGGCCCGGATCTCTACGACCGGATCGCCGCTCGCGGGGGAGCGCCGTTCCCGGAGCCGGAGGCGGCGGCGGTAGTGCAAGCGCTGGCGGAGGCCGTGGCGGCGTGTCACCTGCGGGGGGTGGCGCATCGGGACGTGAAGCCGGACAACGTTCTCTTCGACGCGCTGGGGCAGCTCAAGCTGGTCGACTTCGGGTCGGCGGAGTGCTTCCTGGGGGCGGATGGGGGACGGGCGCCGATGAGGGGGCTGGTTGGGACGCCGTGGTACGTGGCGCCGGAGGTTGTGATGGGGCGGGAGTACGGGGAGAAGGTGGACGTGTGGAGCGCTGGGGTGGTGATGTACATGATGCTTTCGGGTGGAGCGCCGCCGTTCTACGGGGATACGGCGGCGGAGACCTTCGAGTTGGTGGCCAGGGCCAACCTGAGGTTCCCATCGAGGGTTTTTCGCTCGGTATCGCCGGCAGCCAAGGACCTGCTGCGGCGGATGCTCTGCAGGGACGTCTCGAGAAGGTTCTCCGCCGAGCAAGTCCTCAGTAAGCACCAACAGACCCTTCGTCTCAACTTTGATCTCACTCCGCCCATCATCTTGATCGTTTTGTTTTCTGTTAGACGATTTGTTGTTGTTAACCGCAGAAGATTTGTTTTCTCGTTTTGGATTTGGGGATTTTTAAACTCATTCTTTGATTTATTTCTTCCCTTCATGAATTATTGCGGAAGTTTTTGGTCGATTACATTGATGATCTAAACCTTGGCAGAAGAAAAGCTGCCTTCCTTTTCCTATTTGTTTCTGCTAATATGTCTTATTTAATTAGAAATAATTATTACAAATTCTTCCTCCTCGGCATTAATACGTATTTAACATGAGAAAGGGCATCCTTGGATCACAAGTGGAGGGTTGAGTACGGTTGAGGGAGCAAGCCGAGATCCATCGCTTGCCACGGAGAGGCCCGAAGGCCCGCTGCTTCGTCTATGCGCGTAGCTCGCACCGAACGCCGACCTTGAAGCTTGAACCATGTACGGGACAACGAGAGAGATGGGATTCCTACACCGGAGTTGTACATTGAAGCGTGCAAACCTTCGACGGACGTCCATTTTCCGTTAGTACGATCCTTTTCCTTCTCCATTTAATAGAGATTTCGTGTTGTACTGAGGCCAATGATGAAAACTCCTATTATACTCCACCTTAAATGGGACGGGTATCCGATACTGACTAAAACTCATGTTATAAAAAAAATTAGATAAAAATGTTTCAGAGTTGGAAAGAGCTCATGTTTATTGCTATGATAACCTATCATCTCTTTGGGATAGGTTATCACCATAATTCCTATCGATTTTTATTTATGAAAGTAAAATATTTAATCTTATTTTTCATCATATTGATTCTACAAGTAAAAATATCATAATGTTTATTATTTAGTACATGTTAACTCTATTTCACTGTATTAACTCTATCTCATTGTACGATATTTTTATAGTTGATAGTATAAGAAAAAAATAAAATTAAATAATTTTCTTTTGAAAATATAGGGATCGTAACATAATATTTAAAAATATAAAGATCGAAATATTAAAAATAACTAATTATGAATATTAATCTATAATTAATTTTATGGAGGAAAAGTGCCTTTACATCCTAAGGCTATTAATGATTAACCCATTTTGATCTATTTATAAGAAAATAATTTTACTGATCAAACTTCACTTTTTTACCTCCTTAGAAAATAGATTTATCTTTCATTAATTAATTCCCCATCACACTCACTACAATTGCCTCTCCATTTCCATCCCATACTTCCTAGATGCAATTTCTTATGGGGTGCGAGAATCCTCTTCACTAATTCCCCCATAAAGCAGTACCATCTCAAATTTGTAAGAAAACATCAATTCTTCTTCCTTGGCATATCAACAATCACATCCTCCATCTAAAACCCAATCCTAAATTGTCACAACATCTGTGCTGAAACAATGACATCTTTACACTGACTCATGACGCTTATTTGGAAGTGCGCCAAAGATTTTTACTGATGGATATGATAGATATTCGAACACCGCATCATTGGTAGCCAGCTAGACAGCCACTTACTTATATGCCTTGTCGGCACGACATGTAGAATGAATGACCCATACGGTCACCATACATAATCTTGTCAATCGCAATGCTCGACGTTTTAGGTAACACTCAACAATGTGACAAAACCACTTCCATGGATCAACTCCCCCACTTAATCCTTATGATCACTATATCATTCTATATGAAGGCTCAGATACGCTTCTGCAACTACAACTCTTTGAACCTTTCAAATCCTAAATCATTGTTGTTCTTCCAAGTTATTAACTTTAGCAGGATCCTTGTCCGACACAACCTCTATACAAATTCGATAAAAAAAATTTTACAGAATACTTTGTCGAACCCATTCATCTCCTAATATCAAACCAAGGTTGGTTCCTCAACATCTCAAACAACTATATTTTGCTTAAACAACCTTCTTCATCAAATACTACTGATATAACTTCTCTAATATCCCAGTCGATATCATTAAAAAGCCAGAAAATAAACAACAATCACTACCGAATTATATTATGATCTGGCATCAATCTTTAGACAGATGGACAGAATACCAATCAACAAATATCGATTTAACCGATAAAATCGTACTCTTAGCCATACCGATAACAAGAATGCACATATTCTACTGTTGGATCCAATGTATAAAATATGGGATGCATGGGCACAATTTAATCAGTACAACTTTTAACAACAAATAACAAACAACAACAGAGAAATACCCTGCTACTGCAACTAATTAACATGCAAGTAATTTTGGTTGACGAAATATCTGATTGTGTTTCAAGTCCTCACAACACTTGTTGCTATCACTGGGATACATGATAAGAAAGTAGAAACCTGGTGTCTAAGTGAATGAATGATGAAATCATCAGAAATTAGCCAAGGCCATTTACTGTAGACACACTAGGACAAGCCAACATGGACAGCAGCTTAGGACCCACAATTTAATCCTTATAAATTGGTCCTTAAAATTTCAGTGAGTTACCAAAAGCTATTACAGGCTCCTGATAATTCACAATTGCATTTATGTTAAACCAGCTAATACAAGGATTGTTAAAAAAAAGAAGAAATCCAGAAACACATCTTGAGATACAGTGACTACATTATGGTATTATTGCACACACAGATATTTGAATTGAATCTGAGAAGTATTCAAGCAATCAACATGAATAAAAGATACAGAGAGTTTTGAGGAGATAAAAGAAAATTAGTTCTGAGAAATCAAACAAGTTAGTTTTCTTTTGATGTTGTATTTAAATGAAATGAGAGAATAAATTCATGAGAAACTCTGGAATCATACACAGGCCCACTTCTAATTTTATTATATCAGTTAAGAACCTAATGTTGGATTCGATAGTTAGAAATTTTATAACATCTTAAGGCACAACATTATTCTTGATATACGTACCATAAAACCATTGTTATTTATAAACTAAGACACACCGTACAAACCATCCACCCGAGATTAGTATGGATTTGGTAACCAAAATTTTCAACTATGGATATAAAAACACATGGATGTGTCCAACTTGTTATAAAATTTTTATGGCCATTCAGCTACAACATATAACAAAGAAATGATGAAAGAACAAGTTGTAGGTCATTGTCCCACTCTGTGAACAGTTAACCAACGTAAAATTGGAGATGGTCCAACAAATATCTATCTGAACAATCTAAATGTATCAAATTCTTCAAGCAGGTGAAAACTAGCAAGCTATATCTACAATCTAAAATTCATGATTGAAGCATAAAAAGGTCCAAATTGTTCTACTAAATAAAAAAAAGGGCAACAAATAATGCAAAATCATTGAATGGTACAAGAAAAACATGCTGCTGCTCCAATCAATTGTTCCATCAAGAAAACCTTGTAAACAAGGTTTTACAATTTTATTGTCTATCGAACTAGCCAGCTCCTATTAAATTAATTTTTTTTATTGCTATTAGGTCCATAATCCATTCTTCCAACCATATACTCTCTCATTTCCTAGTCCTCTTTCAGCTGGCAGCATTATTTATGTTTATCAATAAGTTAAATTTCATGTTTCTATGGTCATGATTGTAACATCTGAAGACCATATGACCATTATTCTTCTTATTCGTCATTTTAGTGATAAAATCGAGCAGTTTCTCTTGTTTGTTAAGAAAGGGTTATTAGAGTGCCATATTTCAATTAGAATTCATTTACGAAGGCTGATTCTTTTCAAACATAAACAATTGGATGTTTAACATAAAGACACAAGAAAGTAACAAAATCAAAAGTGCTGTACAACCATATGTATTTGTGAGAGTTCCTTAAAGGGGACAGTCAATGTCTCAAGATTTTATCCTTTACTGTGTTATACAAGCAAAATGATTAGGCAGCAGGAAGAAAATTGAAGTTAATCAATCAAAACTCTCGGAATATTCAGCTGGTTAATCTAAGTCAACGGTTCACTCTGTATACAAAACTTTGTTTGCATTATTCATTTTATGAGTTTCTAATAAATCTCTGTTCTAACCTTAAAATGAAGTACCACAATAGGGCACATTACATTTGATATCCTTGATGATGCCTAATTAGTACAAGAAAAAAAACAATCTTATATTGAACTAAGGGTAGTCAAAACCCCAAATATGGTAACTTCTATAAGGGAAACTCAAAGGGCTAATTTGTTTGAGTTGTTTTATAGTAATATAAACAATCAGTGTGGTTGAATCTGAAGCAGTTACTTTCAAAATAACCTGAAGAAAATCAACGATTAGTGGGAGAATCAGAGTTAAAAAGAAGATTTTCTCGCTTCTTTCTCATTTTCAGAAGTAAATCATGATCAACCAAAACCCAAAATCTTTATTCCTTTGCAAACTTAAACCATTCAAAGTCTTATGAATAAAAGATCTTTATCTATCCAAAACTAAGAAAAAAAGAACAATTATAATACCTGAACAGCTCAAGGACAATTTCTTCATAAATACCATCGCTGTTTTCACTCACAATCTCAAAATTGGATCGCTCAAACAGGTGTTATGACTATGGCTTCAAGGAGTACTCATATTCGTCATATGCATACCCTAACACATTTTGAGATAATTCCATATTACAATTTGGCTTACGAACTTTAGGATACCTCTAGGTATATCTACCTAGAGCAATAGTTATACATATGGCCTCAAAAGCATGTCTACAAGCTCATACAAGGCTCATCCGAGGTTGAAGGTGATGAAACTGTCACTGTGGTAAATAGAAGAAGAGTTAATTAGTCACTAGTCCTATAAGCAAAATTTCCAGCACTTGCTGAATTTGTCAAATTAGCAAGAAGCATCTGCACAATAAACATCACCAGTCCTAGCAATCATTAATTTGTACACAGTCCTTATTCATCCTATTGTTCCTTCAAACTATTCAACTTATTTTTCTAACATTCAAAATGAAATACTAAACTTGATTCTCAGGTGGTGTAACCTGTGGATATAAAAGAATACGAGGTGTAGAATGAAAAAGGAAGAATATATACTTCTTAAAAACACTAGTATTCAAAATGAAACACTAACATTCAAAATGAAATACTAAACTTGATTCTCAGGTGATGTAACCTGTGGATATAAAAGAATACGAGGTGTAGAATGAAGAAAGGTAGAATATATACTTCTTAAAAACACTAGCAATAAGGAAAGACAAGATTCTCCATATATTGTCAGTCACTTTAAACCTTTGTTATAGACCTCAGCACAATCCTGAGACTTATTCCATTCTGAAACTAAGCAAAAATATCCAATTTAAATGACATAAAAGGATCCCAGGAATTTACTGAATAATTTTCTGTTTAATGGAAAGATCAAAATAAGCTCCATATTAAATTGAAGCTAACAAAGTTTTTTAAAACAGATTAAACCAAGAAATACCAATAAAGTTGCTTATAAAAAAATGATGAATATAAAATTATTTTAGTTAAATTTGTCAACATATACAGTTTGGAATATGGGCTTAACAACCAGGTATTTCACTGTTTATGACTCTAAGAACATTGTCTCAAAACAAACCTTTGTTTAGCCATAGGCTCAATATCTGAAACCTCATTCATACTTAACTACCACATCCACAAGCTTGCACCTAGCTGAAATCTTAGTAAGTCTCATAACTCTAGCTAACCAATACTTGATTCTAAGGCAATAAATTGGCTCAATTCTCGTCAAAGTGTATTAGGTTCATTGAAGTTAGAAGGAAAGCAATTTTTTCCTTCAGTTAAACAAGCATGATATCCTAACCCATAATGATATAACAAAAGCCTTAACCTCCTTTATTTAGTGTTTTTTGTGTATTTAGTACTTATCAGCAAGGTCTGCAATACCGTACCATACCGGTGTTTCGAGGCTGGCTCAGTATGGTACGGTACCGTGTATCGAGCGGTACACCAGGGCGTACCGAGCGGTACACCTAATTTAGGGTGTAAAACCCTCCAAAAATACCTGAAAATAAAAAAAATGTTAGGATAGAGTTTTTAAGTTAGAAATAAATATAGTAATAGTATAAGTTTAACAAAATCAATGTAAATTAGGTAAGAATAGTATCACATATCTTTTTCAGGCTTTGAGGAAGTCTTGTTCAAGGTTCGTATTTCAGTGATTGAAATATATGTCAAACACATAAAAGAAACATTAAATATGTAATTTTGATCCAATATGATTCAAATTATGATAAAATCATCATTAGATACACTAATTACATAATTAACATAGTTAATTTTTCACTAATTACTTCTCTTTCAACACTATAAACATGACAAACACCATAATATGTATTAAACATATTGAATTGACATAAAATCGAATAAATTTCGATTAAATCATCATTAAAATGACTAATCGCAGCACCATAAATATTTTTTAATATTTAATATGCATGAAACACACTAATCATAATATTAAAGATCTTAATTACTCTCTAATTAAAGAAAAAGAATGCATACATCTTAATTAGAAAGTTCTTCCTCTTAATCTTCCCAAATTAGCCTCGATTGAATTCACAAATCATTGTTTAGTAAAGTTTAGGAGAGAAAAAAGAGTTTGAGATAGTTTAAGAGAGCATGAAAATCTAATGAAGGAAATAGGGAAGAAGAAGGGTTTAAATACTATGAGAAAGGGCTCCAACGGTCAATTTAACCGTTGGAGCACTGTAGCACTGTTACAGTGCGGTAATAGTCGATTTCGACTGTTACCGAGTTGTGTCGAGCGGTAACGATCGAAATTTTGATCGTTACCGCTCGATATTACCCCATATCGTCCGATACGGGACGCTTTTAAACGTTTCGCCTAGTTGCGGGTGGTCCGCGTACCGATATGCCGTCGAACCGGTACGTACCGCCCGTACCGGGCGGTATCATTCGGTATTGCCTACCTTGCTTATCAATACTATAATCATAAGAATTCATCTAAAAAGAGTATAGCTAAATAGACATAAACTCATAGATGCTGTCTATTTCAAATGATATTAAAGTATGTTTCTTCAACACAAAAAGAGAAACATTTATGTAGTTCTGGCACATCAAAATCATACAAACACATAACTGAAACAAACAGATAGGAGGTGGTGTTTTTGGCGACTATGGATTGTTTGTACTTTGCTGGCTCTAAGAGTTGGTATAGAGGATATAAATGGTAAGGATTCAAATTTAAGAACCTATCTGTACTCTACTTTGTTGGCATTTCCTTCTCTGTAGAAGATGCCCACTTAATTTGAAACTTTTGAATCACATATACAAACTCTTACTGAAAAAGAGATGATCAAGCACTTCTGTTACCAATTGCCCATCATCCTCTTATCCTTCTTAATGGGTTTCCATAAATTTCAATATAATCATCAAAATTCACAGTTTTCATCAAGCAACATTTTCTGCTAACATATCATCAAACTAACACTATAACATAGTCGAAAAATATTTGTGTCAACTTTCAAAGTGTAAACTCCTAAAATTTCAGCATTGGATATCAGAACCAGCCAGCATAACAAAGATCATGCAAAACATACATCCAGGAAACTATATTCGTGTGAGTTATCAATTACTTGATTAAGCAGCAGTAGACAGGAGATCTACAAATTGATGTCTACAACCTATACAACAAATCTCTTCATCCAAAACTGTACATGTGAATCCAAAACCCCTAAACCAATGGAAAGTATAAATGAGGACTATTAAAAGTTCTATCACAACAAAGAAAGTAAAAGGGCGCAACCTCACCGAATTCATGAGTATGCGGCTACCAGCAGAATGATCCTCACAACCAGCACGAACGGTACATCTCAACTGAGCTCATCGATGCAACGCTGCAAGTCTCTTGGCCCAAACCTCCGCCCCGTCATTTCTCCATCCTTGCCCCTTGCTGCAAAGTAGAAAATCAACCAAACTGCCATGAAGTATACCTCCGCCACCGCATGGAACAGACCGGCAAACAATCTCCCACCAACCATCATGGCTGCCGACGTCCCCAGGTTCCCACAGATCATCATCTCCAAGAACTTGATCCAGATTGCCTGTGCCGGCATCAGAGTTATGAAATAAAACCCCTCTTTCACCTCATCCAGCACACCCCGCCTCAAATTGTTGTCCATTATCACCACCCAGGGCATGAGGACAACCATCACCGACCCCACTGTGTCGACGAGAGCCCACACGAAGAAAAACCCCGAGAGCGCCTCGTCTTGCAGCCCAGACCATGGGTTGAATGGCGACAATGTAAAAGGCATAAGCTTGACCTTGACGAAGAGCTTGAACAGCTCGGCCTGATCCTCGACATTGGCGAAGAACCAGAAGCTGAGGAACTGGATCAGCATGTCCCTCGCCGCCCACCGCAAGAACACGAACCCCGTGAGCCGTCGGATCCCCGCCCGAGCGCCAGAAAAGATGGTCTCGACGACGGTGGCGGGCCTCTGGACGTGGAAGGCAGCAATCGAGAAGAAGACAATGCCGAGAGCAGAGGTATACGCAATGACAAACCCCAGGATTGCGAGCGAGTGGGTGGAGGAGAGGAGGACGAGTACGTAGAGCATCGCAGTGGCATCTCGACGGTCGATGTCGAAACCCCGGCCCAAATCCTGCTGACTGACGGCCCGATCTCGACCGCCGCCGCCGCGGTCGTCGGCGTCGGGGAACGAGAAAAGGAAAGGGGAAACGGAGGAAGGGAACAAGGGTACACTACTCTTGGAGGACTTGGGGGGTCGCGGGAGCAAGCCTACGGCGGGATCGAGGAAAAGGAGGCGGGAGGCGTTGAGGGAGAAGCGAAGTGATGCGGGGGGGTCGGACTCCGAGAAGAAGTCACCGGCGCGGGTGAGGCGGAGGAAGGGAGCGGAGCGCGGGCGGGCGGGAGGCGCGGGGGCGGGGGCGGGGGCAGCCGAGGGAGAGGAGGAGAGGCGGCGGAGGAGGGAGAGGAGGGCGGGGTCGCGATCGACGAGGGCGGAGAGGCGGAGGGTCGCGACGAGGAGGGTGGAGTGGAAGGCGAAGAGGAGGAGGGAGGCGAGTAGGAGGCAGGGGAGGACGCCGGAGGAGAGGAGGGAGGAAAGCGAGTGACGGAGGACGTGACCGGCGGTGCGGTGGTGGTGGTGGAGGAGGAGGTGACGACGGTCGAGTCGCGGAGGGTCGGAGTCCGCCATTGGCGCTGCGGAATGCTTCGTGTCGCAATCGAGCGAAGCGATAAGCTCGGAGGGTTTCGTAGGGAACTAATCAAACGAGATTAAGTCAATGAAAAGAGTACGTTTAATTAATACATTTATTTAATTATATTTGATTAAAAATTAAACATAAAATTTCTAATTTCTAATTTTTTTTCTTTATTGGTAAAAAAGACACTGTAAATTTTGGGGAATAAAAAAGAAATCGTATTACTGTTAAAAATAGAAGTATACAAGTAATTATTTTTTTTCAAGTTGCTTGCATAAGTTGATGAATAATAAATTAATCTACTATAGTAATTTTTTTTAAAAAATCTTAAATACAATCGTTAAGTCTTTATCGAGATATTCGATTAATTATTATATTGTTATACGAGTGATAGATTTTAAATTTAATCACATATGAGCATCATATATATTATTTTAATATAATAAAATTGTAATTAAAAAAATACTATTTTTTTTTAAATAACCTCATAAGTAATGATTTCCTTCGAGTAATGTAATTTTAATGGCACTAAGAATAACCAAAGATATAAGTATGTTAGATACACGTGAAGTTCTAGAAAGTTATATCGAATATATTATTAGTATCATTTTTGGATGAAATTTTGAATACAAGTGAAAATGCTGCAGTCAATTTTAACGGGTGATGGTCATCCTTCTAATCTAAAAGAAACAACTTATAAGAGGATTATAAAACTAATCATAATTTATAAAATTTTAGTGTTGGATTATAAGAAAATTATATTGTTACGATCATTGAGATGAATATAAAGAATTATGAAAAAGAATAAAAAAATTATTCATGAACAATTAAGTATATCATCGACAAAAATAAAACTATATAAATCATAAATTATTTTGATAAAAAAATTAATCAAATAAAATATGATGAGTTTTTGAAGAAGCTCTTTATCTTTAAGAAATTCTCGTAAAATATTTTTTTAAATGATCAATTTACCCTTAGCTCCTATCGGACCCGCATCATCCTACGTTACCCTAGTGCTACCTTTGCCATCGTCATCCTTTTAATCTAAAAGAAACAACTTATAAGAGGATTATAAAACTAATCATAATTTATAAAATTTTAGTGTTGGATTATAAGAAAATTATATTGTTACGATTAGAATGTTGAGATGAATATAAAGAATTATGAAAAAAAATAAAAAAAAATTATTCATGAACAATTAAGTATACCATCGACAAAAATAAAACTATGTAAATCATAAATTATTTTGATAAAAAAATTAATCAAATAAAATATGATGAGTTTTTGAAGAAGCTCTTTATCTTTAAGAAATTCTCGTAAAATATTTTTTAAAATGATCAATTTGCCCTTAGCTCCTATCGGACTCGCATCATCCTACATTACCCTAATGCTACCTTTACCATCGTCTTCCCTTTCCTCTATCTCATTGGACCTATAGTAGCCTCCATCTTTAGCCTCATCAAATCTATCACCTCTTCTCCTATGCAACGGGCAACTATGGCGATTTTATTGAACTCTCCCATTTGTGTGAAGGTTGTGGGTGAGAATGACAAAGACCGATATTATTATGCCCCCTCTTTCCTCGCACAAGAGAAACGTGGGTCTTAAAAGATCCACATGCTATTAAAAAAGCCAACCTAACATAAGCACCGAAGGGATCTAAGTAAGGAATCCCCCTTTCGATTACGATCTATGTTCAAGCACTTAAACGGAGAATTGGAGAGCTAAAGGATTCATCTTCAACCTCCACTTGCGAGAACGAGGCCTACACCCCCTCAATCAAATCTCGGGTTAACACCCTCCGACTCAAAGACCATATTAATGATCTTACGCACTCCGAAAGAGTTAAGTCGTGCTGACACCTCGGTCGTCACGATGCCTTGTTTATAGCTAAAATAACTGTACCAACTGGACGAAGAAACATCAAATCCCGAAGGAACATATTCGTTACAGTAACCTGGACAGAAATGATGGATCAGCTTCTATTCCTTCCGGCCTTTGACACAATTGGCACAGAAATTAGTACCATAAGAAAACCGACACACAGGTAGTGAGGGAATCGCCTTCGACATAGTGTGTATCTATCTACAACCGACAAAGTAGCTGTTTCGGGATTTCTCTACAAGTGTGTCTCTCATACATACTTCTTGGTAGCATATCCAAAGAGATTACAAAATGAGCACATCATCGATCTCCAATCGTACTCCGGCGGTTCAGGATCCACAGCCGGAGAAGCGACACCGGCACAAGCCACCGAGGGGAAGGAGCCGACGGTGAGCGAAGATCCGAAGCTCGCCGGAGAAGGAAGCAATCTCTCGAGAGCCAGAGCAATCGGGGAAGTCGGTGGCAGTGGGTCCCCCGATGCTGGTCCCACGGGAGAAGACAACCCCGCTAGAAAGGAGACACTGCCGGAAGGGGAGACCGATCGGTGCCGAAGCCGACACGACAGCATCGCATCCCCACGGAGGCTCGAATTTGCATCATGTAGCGCCAGGAGCGGAGGAGGCCGTGACCACCTGCGATCCGGAAGGAGATGCCAGCGGAAAGGATCCGAAGGCCAGAGACGCCGCCGGATCAGAACCGACAGCAATGGATCGGCGGCCACCGACGGAGCAGGACGGACGCCGGCCAACACAGGCGAGGGGGCGTCCAACGGAGACGTGATCCGAGGCCGACCAATCGCGGGAGACTAGAAAGGGAGCGAGTGTCCGCCGGCCCAGAACGCCTCGGCAGCGAGTGGGACGGGAGCAGCCTTGAAGCCGAGCCGCACCGCACCCCAGCGCCAACGACAGGGCCAGCAGCACGAAACGCGATCGGCCGGATGCCAACAGCTTCATGGCGAGGGAGACCATGTCCCGTGGGGCCCGCAGGGGAGGGAAGAGGCAGCGACACAGCGCCAAGGGAGGCTCGTGAGGATGGCGTTGCCGCCGGCGAGGGATAACCGGCGGCCACAGAAACCGGAAAGGGAAACCCTAGTCGAGTCTCTCTCTCTCTCGCTCTCTCTCCCCCCATAGCAAAAATTATTACTCCAATAAGACAAAGCTATGTAAATTTGTAGGGTTGTACATATGTTTTATGACATTAAGCGCAAATGGAAAGGAACCACGCGGTCCTGTAGTACTTGGAGGGTTGGTTCAGTCAAGCCCGAACTAACAACAGCCGTCCGTTTGTAGTACAACCTATTAATACGTGGTTGACGAGGAGATTCTGCACTGGCCTACCAGTTTTCAGTGGAACGATCGCTTCTTTACATCAACTTCTTCGGCGAAGCCGCCATCGTAGGAGCAGATGGTGGAAGACCCAAGCCAAAGGGAAACAAGCGAACGCGTAGGAGATCCACCAGCATCGCCCCCCCAGCGCCGTGGAAACAAAAGAAGCGAACGCCGACATGGCCGAGAAGTACGTGACGAAGTGGAGGAAATCAGGGAGGAACGACGGCGGTCCACGCAAACCTCGTAGAGCGACGCTACCGATGCCGGCGCAGAGCGTCACGAGGATAGAGATGCCGAGCACAGCCACAGTCCATGGCGGTGGTGATATAGCCGAGTCCTCATGAGCTGCATTTTTTATGAAGAAGGGGCCAAGGAGGGCGAGCCCGCACTGAAGGGCGAACTCCAGGAGTTTATTTATGATCCATCTCCTACTACGGCCGCGTCGAAGTCGGCAGGAGCAGGCCGTGGTGGTGGTGGTAGTGATGACAGTCGACGACGAAGCCATAGTATAGAGGTGATGGACGTAATCGCACTCGGATTGGAGGTGGGAACGACGAGAGAGTTGTTCGCATAAGACGTGTGAGGACTCTCGAATGGTGCTCATTGTTTCTTCACGAGAAACTCTGGCATTCTGCATCCTGTACTATCGTAGCGCCTGATAGGGAGCAGGAAGAGGAGGTTTATGTACGACTTATATATACGTAGGAAGGAGAGGAGGTTTTACGCCATTGCTCAAAGAATCTTCTGTGGGTCGAGATCTTGACGGCAAGCTTGGCAAACTGGACCCGCGATCGACGTCTTCTAGTGGAAAAGCACCACGTATTAGAAAGGATGCGGCTATAGAAGTCCCTTGTCGTCTCGTGGAAATGCATCCGGATGTCGTAGGAGTCTCCACTATCGTGCCGAATATTGCAGGGGCTTCAGTAAGTTGATTCGTAGTGAGTCCTTCACCTGTATTTTTTGTTTTTGGCCCTTTACGAATTAGGATGGTCCTTATATGATCTTTCGCTCTGTGAACTTCGAGTCGGTCTTTTGGTTTTTTTTCTTATTATTGATAATGGTTGGGATATACAAATGCTTAGAATATATTTTTCATCTTTTGTTGTTGTTAAGAATAAGAATGAAACGAAGAAAGATATATGTGTTTGATAGGGTACTCTCTGTTTATACACAAGGAGAGAGGTTTTTTTTTAACAGAACACGTAGGAGAAATCTACACCTATCATGGGAAATCTTAGTTTAGTGGTGCCTACAGTATCTAGCCCTCCTCCCAACATGAAATGCTGCCTTTGTGGCGGGTGGTTCCTTCCTAAAGCTGGTTCAAAGCGAAACTCTTTGTGATGCTTTACACTTAGGCTTTAACCATTACCTGGTTTGTCACTTTTATAAGATTCTGAAAGTGTCTTTTGAATGTGCTTATCACGTTGGACGAAACTCTTGTTAGGTTTTTGTGATCCTTTTATAATTGAATAAAATATATAATATAATAATTAATTGGGTTCCGTTGAAATATTTTAGCCAATATATTAGTCCACTTACGGAACTCTTATCGTAGACCCTCTGCTCTCGCCTATAAAAGGACAAGACCTCTAGGGGGTTAAGAGAGTGTTGGACGTATAGACGCATCTCTCCGTTGAGGGATTTCAGTTTCTCCCTCGAATCCATCAATCTAAGGATAGGAAGAGATAGGAGAAAAGATCTACTCCTTGCACTCCTTGCAGACGGTGACGATGCTAACAATCTTGGATCCAATCTTGGATCACACAAACGGTGCTTAGTAGATCAAACGAGTTTCTCTGAAGAGATGACATCAAAAGGTATGTATCGTAATA